TCGCAATCTTCGAAGCACATGATTTTCAAACTTTTTAAATTAGCTTTCAGTAAAATGTTCTAAAAACCACTGGAGTTTCACGGAATTTTTTGTTGCATGAGCGTCGGAGTGTTACAGGCGATCCACAGATGCGCCCAATTGTTGCAACCCTTTTTGTGCTGGAAGTGCGAGACATTTCACAAATAGCTCGGCGAATTCACCAAGAGTAAGAAAAGACATTCCGATGTAGAGGCCCAAAGTGCCACCAATATTGGATAGCAAATCCCAGACATCCTGCGATGGTGATTCAACAACTGACTCGTAATTCAGTTCCTGAAAAGGGATCCACAAACACATCTAGCAGAACTGGATACGATGTAGATTTCTGTTATCAAATGACATTTTGCAGATAACGCGCTAGGTGGTAGATGAATCCATCAGTCTAAGGAAGGAAATGAGGGGAAAAACAGGAAAATCAAGACCGAATCCCGTGTAAGCTAGTTAGCAGGCGTTTCAGTTTCGATCACAGTAACCTTTCTTACCTCATAGTATACTTCAAGTTTAGCTAGATTTGTTCGAGCTTCTCGTGCTTCGAGCATTGTTTCCATTGAGGGAAGCTGCTGCTTCCAAAGTTCCTTGATATGATCGTAGTAACTCGTACGTGGCCATAAAGATGTGGTGACGCGTGATACATAGCCTTGTTCGTGGCATGATTGCGGGCACTGTTTCTCGCAGAAGCCACTGTTTGTGGAATTCGTCAGAGACTGCAAATTTATTTTAGTTACTCATACGTTCACGATATTTTAAATTTAGATATTCTGTGGTTATGAAAAGGGTGTAAGGAAGGAGAGTTTTGTTGTAAGAGGAAAAACACCTTGGGCACAGTCTGAGATAACGTAACAAGCACTGTGGTACTTACGAAAGGAATAAAATCGTAAAATCGAGTCAAAAGAATTATATCAAAAAATCCTCTACATTTTTGGAGGAGTTCTGTCAAAGGCGGATGCACTCGGAATGGCCCGAATTGTACAAAATGTAAGAAACAGTCACTCGTTAACAAGGTTGCCGATAAAAATTCAGTCTTCTACCCGCAACAACTGCTCTATCTGTGTTGAGAGCTAGAGAATGAAGCGAAGATTGTTTATTTATGTTTTGCTCCACAACATTTCGTAAATTTCATTCTCCCTGACTTTATCTTCCCTTTTTGAGGTTGCTTAGAGGCAAGCTAATGGCAAAAATTAAAAATTCGAATTCGCCTTCGAAAAACAATTGATATGGTTCTGGCATAGCTGTGCCAGGTGTGTGAGAATATTTCAATTTATTAACTTGCGATTTTCGCATCGTTTGTTCCAATGGTCTTATTATCCTGGATTATTTGATGTAAAATTCATTATAAAACTTGATTTTGAAATTTTTCACAAAAACGAAAACAAAACCGCGCTAACCTTTCTGACGCATTCGAACGATCTTGTGAGTGTCATATCACAAGCCGATGGTTGACTGTTATTGATGGCATAGAACGTGTGAATATCATCTCGTGTGACAAAACTTGGATCGACACAGTTGCAGTCCTATTGAAACCTATATATTCGTTTACTGTCCAAAAATTTTAGGAAATTATTAAAATTTTCTTCAGGCGAAAATTACTCCTACTTTTTTGCAAACTGCTATGTGTCTGCTTCAATGTGTTCGTGCCATTTATTCATTTGATGGCTTCTGCTAACGGAAATCTGTGATACATGATGATAACAGCACGTGCTTGACTTTCATATGCCGGTTGCATGTGACATTTTCAGACTTATCTAATTTTATTCGGCGAGCACAGCGCACTGGGAAAGTAGTACCGTCGTTGTCGAGTAGTATGTTGGGGGTTCCGCTTCAGTAAATCTCTCTACGGTTGTTCATTTGTTTCGATGGTAAATTGGCACTGGCACAAGCCAAGGAATCAAACCCGGCATCGACAGACTTG